AGGAACAAAACCTTCAAAGGAGGAACCAACTTTTTTGAAGTGCTTGTGCAAAGTTCCATGTAGAAAGTGTGGAAGGTCGATTAAAGGCTCTTCATTCTTCTTGAAAAAGTGCCTTGAACGCTCTTTTTTAATAGTTCTCAAATAATGAGATGGCACTCAAGTGAAAATGGAATTCCAACTTTCATTGAATTTTGCATATGTGGAAGCAATAAGTACGAGCAATTATGCATTTCTCGATACCAATACCTCAGTTCACATATATTAAGGGTGGAAAAGTGACTTGTTTCGAAAGAGTAAACAATAAAATTCGTTTGTTAATTAAAGGAAGGACTAATGGGTTTGTGGTCTCTCCAAACACCCAACCTCGATAAAGGTCCGGTGTTTGTGGGATTTTCTGCATATTTTGTCAATTGACTTATTTCACGACAAGGCAAATGAAATGCAATTCCATTAAAAAAGGTTCTTGTATATAAAGCTTCAAGACATGTTGTTTTAATTTCTGGAACTCAGTTGGGAGAGGAAGAGGTGTAAATTGGTGAAATTGACATCCATGTATTCGTTCATGTGCATCATGTACACATTATGAAGATCAGTAACCATTTTAAATGTGTCATGAAAGCAATAGTGAGTAATGTAGAAATGTCGATAAAGAAAAATCACCTTCTTCCCTGTTAATTTCAAAATATCCAAAACCTTTCGATAATAGATTGCAGTATTACTTTCTATAGTCTGTACACCACGTCATACTTTTTCAAAAGAGGTGTAAATTGTTCTTTCACGATTTTTCTCGTTGCAAGTTGGTGTGGTAATTGTTGATGACAATATTGATCAGACTTGAAGCGAGGAGAGAATTTCAGAAAATAATCTGAAAACTTCTTTTGGTCTGAGTAGGTTTGGTAAAGAAATAGAATTTTTGGTTCTGTGATGGAGGATGTTATGGTTGATTCTAATGTTGTGTTGGATGGTGGTTGAGGTATTCTCAAATCGAATGGACACCAAAAATCTGGTCTATGTTTCTTAATAAGGTCAAATAGCTCAATGTTGGACTGAATCAAACTACAACAAAGCTCTTTGGGAAAAGAATAATTATTCTGAGGGATCACTTGACATAATTTCGTGGATTCTTTTCGCTCAAGAATACTCATAAATTGTTCTTGAACTTTTTTTTCTGCAAAGGATCTCCAATGATGAAATTCACAATAATCAAAGAAAAATTGGAAGTGCTCAGTAGATGACAGAAAATTATTAAAATCAATCCCCAATTGATTTTCACTCATAACGTAGCCACATTTCATCAATCGAATCCACACACCTTTTGTTTTGCAAGATTTAACAGCTGCTGCCAAACAGTTCTCTCTTTTCATAAGAGAGTTCTTAAAAGAGTGAGCCTTTTTGAACATTTGTGAGTGGGTGTTATCATCTTTCATGGCCTTCTTTACAACAAATATGGAGTCATGGTCACAGAGGTATCGACTATGTTCGGGTTTGAATTTGTCAATAAATTCGAAAATGTAAAACAATAAATATTTTCCATCCAAGGTATTTAAATTTGAAAATTGGTCAGAAAACCATTCCAATCCCTCAGATCTCACTTCATCATGTCCAGCTCCCCAACCAAAATAAAAAGAAGTGAAGCTCATGTCACATGTTTTCACATTTGTGGCTATTGCAAACTCATTCACTGACAACATTTCTCCATTCTCATCAACCAATGCTTGTAAATTAAGGTGAGAACTATATCGTGAGGAAGCAAACACTGACACTTGTTTACCAGATCCATTGTCCAAAGTAATTAACTTCATGGATCCATGTCGTTCCAGACCTTGTGGGCAATTTGAAAGCACCAATTCCAAGTCATGGATATCCATAACTTGAAAAGATTGTTTCAATTTTCTTAACCACTCATATTCATTGGGATAAGTATGACATATAAATTCAGACCAATCAAACACATATTTCAACAAATTATTATTTTGTGTCGGATTCAACCATTCATTCAAACTCTGTTCATTTTCTTTAAAATAATAACTCAAAAAGCTTTCATCATGTGCCAATTCATACCATTGTTTGCAAACGAGAGAGTATCGGAACTGTACGAGAGGCAGCTAACACAAATCTATTGCATTTGAGAGCTTCCATCATCAATTCAGAATCTTTTTTCAATGCATCACTCGCAAAATATAATATATAATATAGTGCATATCCATTACTTCTGACTGCTTCTAACAAAATTTCCTTGTCATTGAGAAATGGTGAGTCATTGGATCCAACAACAGCAAGACCATTGAGTTTGGCAACACTTAACACAAATTCTCTATCTTCAACAATTTCTTTTGGAGCATATCTGAAAATATTCCAACATCCAAGTCTCAATAAGAATTCTTTGCCACGTAAAAGTTCTTTACAAGCGTATCTCAAAGCACCATTGTTTTGTTTGATCGCTTCAATCACAATTTCTTGATCTCTTTTCAGCATTTCATCAGCATATTGAAGAGCTAAACCTTCATTTCTAACTGCTGCCATTACCACCTCTCGATCATTTTTCAACTCTTTCGATGCATAATTAAGTGCAAATCCATTTTGATTCACAGCAATTAATACCAATTCTTTTTCCCCTTCAACTCTGTCGAAACGAATTCCAATGCCAACCCATTTTGTTTGATTTCATGAAGTGCAATTTCTCTGTCATTCTTCAAATCATGAGTGGCAAATTCAAGCGAAACACCGTCACATTTCACAGCATTCAGAACAATGTCTCGATCACTTTTGAGTTTTCTTGATGCTAATCTCAAGAAACTTCCAATTTCTTGAACAACATACATCATGATTTCTTTGTTTGAACAATCTATAGAGACTAAATTATCTAATTCTGGATACAGGAATTTGATGGCTTTCAACATGAACTCTTTAAAAGTAAAATCCATGGTACCCATCGAAATGCTTTCTTGTTTTGATTGATAGCATCAAAACGAATTTCGAAAAGAAAAACCGACTGGAAAGAAATATTTATAATCCAATTCTTGATTCAATAACCACTTCTTCTTTCCTTCTTGTTGCAATGAAAATTTCTTTTCATCAACAATTCCCATCTCCGAATCTCATCAACAATTCCATCATCACGATGAAAAAAAGAATTTGAAAAATCAAAGTCATTCGAACATTCCGCTTTGGCATCAGTTTTAATTTCTTCACCTCTCCGACAACATTTTCATTGATTTTGAGTGTTGGATGACTTGAATTGTAGTGTTTTCGTTTTCTCATTTTTTTGATGAGCGAGAGTTGACAAGGAGGAGGTTTTCCTTTCCTCGCTTGAATCATTCTATTAATCATGAAGACTTGGTGAAGACACGAGGTGAATCCACGTGTGCATGCAAAACAAACAAAGTATGAACTAATGCAGCTGAGATCTTGTATCGCATAATGTTGTTCAATCACTCCATCTTCCTCTTTGACTGGATTTATTTCAGGATAGAATTTGTTAACATTTGTAACATTATCACATCATGGTTTAGCATAAGAATTTATAACTGTAAAATATATTCAACAGTTTATAATGGCAACATAACTTCATTTACATCCTAAATAAGCACCAAAATAACATTGTTCCATCCTTTGTTGCAACAATTCATCACTATATTCCAACACATATCCATTGCATTTAAGAGCTTCCATCACCAATTCAGAATCTTTTTCAATTCTTCACTCGCAAATCTCAATGCATATCCATTGTTCTTCACTGCTTCTAACATGATTTCCTTGTCTGAGGTAAAACATGATCCAAAAACAACAAGACCATTGAGTTTGGCAGCTTTTAACACAAATTCTCTATCCTCAATAATATCTCTCGGTGCATATTTGAAAACTTCTTGACATCCTGCCTTAATCATTTCTAATAATAATGACTTATCACTAAAGAGTTCATAATCGTACTGGGTGAATGGTTTGGTGGTTGGATAGTCCCATAAATTTGGACGATGGTACAAAAAGCTTGCCATCTTGTCTAACAGCTGTCAATAAGACTTCTCTATCATAAATCAACTCTTCCGATGCATATCCAAGTGCACTTCCATTCTGTCGAACAGCAACCAAAACAATTTCTTTGTCTTTTTTCAAACTATTCGATGCATATTTTAATGCCTTTCCTTCCCGTTTCACAGCTTCCAATACGATTTACTTGTTGCATTTCAACTCGTCAGAGGCGTACTTTAATGCCAATGGATCTTTTTCAATCGCTGCATTCACAATCTCTTCATCATTTTTCAAATCTTCATGGGCATATTTAAGCGCAAGTCCATAACTTTTCACAGCATTCAAAAAAACATCACGATCCTTTTTGAGTTCGATTGATACATACAAAAAAATCCAAATTCTTTCACAACTTTCATGATGAACTCTTTGTTTGAATATTCGAAAGACTTTAAATATTCGAATTCTGGAAAGAGTACTTGAATGATCTGGACAGTGAAATCTCTACATATCCAAAAAACACCTGGCCTTAAAATCTCGAACAACCAATGAAACGCTTTCCTATTGTGTTTGAGTGTTTCAAACAAGAGCGATTGGAGTTTAGGCTTTTTCAATTCCTCTAAAGTATTTCTTGAAAAACATCTCGTCATTTTCAAGTCTCTCCTTAAGATACTCGTCACCACACTTGTCACCACCGGAAATAATTTTCCATGCATGATTTAATTCCCCACATCCACTTTAAATCCATCTTTGCTCAATTGGATCACTTGCATCAAGAAATCTCTGTCTTGTTTCAGCTTTGGTGATGCAAATTCCAATCCATAACCATACTTTTTGGTGTGATTCAGTACAAATTCCTTGTCATTCATGAATTCAATTGGAAAGAAATGTTTATATTTCAATTCTCGATTCAATAACCATTTCTTCTTTCCTTCTTGTTGCAATGAAAATTTCTTTTTCAACAACAATTCCCATCTCCGAATCTCATTTTGATCATCATCACCAACACGAAAAAAAGAATTTGAAAAATCAATCAAAACTATTCGAACATTCCTTGGCATTAGTTTCAATTTCTTCCCACCATTCTTCTGTTCATCGTTGAATCCGAGATTTGAATCGCAATTTAAAGGAAAGCAGTTCTTGCGTTTGCTCATTTTTTTGTTAATGGGTTTACGAACAAATTATATTCCTGAAACGCTTGTTGATAGAATCAACATTGAAGTAAGAAAAGCAATAAGAAAGAAAATTTTCATGCATAATGCTAGTCCAACAAACTATTTTCACCTCCCAATCACCTATGGTGGATTAGGTATTCCAAGATTCGACTTCTTTGCTGATGAAATTAGAATCGAAACAGCCCTTTATCTTATTAACAATGAGAACGAACTCCTTAGAGAAGTCTATTCAGAAGGAATTAAATATGAAAATTCGATTTTTAAGGAAATGAATAGATCAATGAAGAAATACAAGATCAAACCTCAACAATTTAACAATGATGAAAATCTTCCAAAATTCAAAGGAAAGAATTTTACTATTTACACTGACGGATCAAATCTAAACAATTCAACAGGTTTCGGCTTCACCGCCAAAGTCAACAATTCCCAAGAAACCCAAGAATTCTCGTAAAAAATTAACAGTGAATACTCACATAACGTCGCTGAATTGTCAGCTATACTCACATCACTAAAGATACTTCCACCTAAATCCAAGGCAAAAAATTCACACAGATAGTGAAATATCCATCCACATCTTGAAAAACAAAGCCTATAATGGAATGTTTAACTGCTTTAAACATGAATATCATAAGGTCATTCAACAATCCAAACTGAATATTCAACTAATCAAAGTTAAAGGACACGTCAACGAAGGAAATATCAAAGCTGATGAATTAGCAAAGATAGGAGCTCAAGAGCACAACTATTTTGACATTAGGAATCTTTTTTCAAACCAAACCATCCTTACTACATCAAATACCATTATTTTCGACATCAAAAAATCCATACAAAAGAAACGTTACGAAGTAATGTTTAGCCAATTGAATAGAGATAATTCCAGTCTACACCTTACCAAGAACTGGTCATCTATCAATCTGAAATTCATCAAATCTAAAATTGACACAGAGACTAAATGGTCAATCTGGAGAAATCTGACAAGTAATTATATCAAACAACATAAGGAAAGACAATGCGCTCACTGCAAATGCCCCAGAACCCTAAAACATTTTATATATTATTGCCCTAACACTCAATGTTTTAGGGACTTTTTCTACACAAAATTCCTAGAAATTACATCAATAAGATGCATCCTCAACGATTATCAAGAATCAAGATACTGTGATAGAAGAAAAGTTTTCATCATCCACCATGACGGAGTAATGATTCGAGATACTCAAATACCCAACCTTAAAAATTTACCAAATATTTACCAAAATTGGCCTGAAATTCAA